CATAACATACTCCGACCTACTCTCTGTGTTGTACCATCTCTTGCACTAATATACTTTATTTGTTTACATTACCAATTAATACTCCGACCCCTGACCTATTTACGCTCTGCACTATATAACTCTCTACTGTTCTATGTTGTACATTACATACTCCTGACCCCTGCACTATATACTCTATGTTGTACATTACCATACTCCTGACCCCTGCACTATATACTCTATGTTGTACATTCCATACTCCCTGACTTCTTGTCTCCCCCCTCTCCCCCCACTGCTATGCTATATACACATAATATGGATTCTCTTTTGTTACACCCATTTCCTCCCAGCTGGACATTTTATATCGGATGATGTGATTGGAGCACAGACTTTTACATGGTGATAATAATGTGATAACATCCTCCAACTTTGGACCCTTAAACAGAAAGTGATAATGAGGGAGGAGTCAATACCCCAATGATGGTGGTCTTCAGGATCAGTCCAGTCTTCATCTTGGTTGTTCTCCCCCCCATCCTCACTCTCTGACCTCTGGTGGGGCTCAGCCCCGCTGTTCTTCATGACTAAATCATGGACTAAATAAGGAATTTCAGTACTTCTTGTGTTGGAATTGTAAGATGGCGATGAGTGATAGAGGGGGTGGGGACCCTCGTCCTATAATCCCCTCATCACTGTCCCTCCTATAAAAGACAGTTCTGGTTGTTTCCTCACTCTCTGACTAAGGTCCATGAATAAAGAAATGACCTGGTAGGAGATCAGAGGAGCCATTTCCTAGTTCCCTTGAGGGTGGAATTGTAAGCTCCTCAGAGACCAAGCTGCCTGATGTGGGCGGAGTCCCTGGTTTGGGGGATCCCAATCAGCTCCTGTCTAGTAATCCTCCTCTTTTCTTTGTATTTTAGTCCATGGCCGGGAGATGAGGGAAAACCTCCGAGGATTGTCTCACTTTGTCTCCAGACTGGAAAGTAGAAGATGAGGACATCACACAGTATAGTCCAGGAGAAAACAGGGGGCTCCCTCCAATGTCCATCCGGTCCACCCAGTGTAGATGGACCATCGGATTCCTCGTATCCTGAGGAACCAGTCTTTGCGGGACCGGGCCGGCCTTCAGGGGGAAGAGTTTCCTGTCCTGAGTGCAGGGAAATGGTTTTTTCAAGGAAATCCAATCTTTACACACATCAAGATCTCACACGGGGGGAGAAGCCGTATTCCTGTCCTGAGTGCGGAAAATGTTTTTTCACAGACGTCCATCTCTTTACAAACATCAGAGATCTCACACACGGGAAAAGCCATATTCCTGTCCTGAGTGTGCGGGAAATGTTTTTCAAGAAGTCTCCAGTCTTTACACACATCAGAGATCTCACACAGGGGAGAAGCCGTATTCCTGTCCTGAGTGTGGAAAATGTTTTTCACAGAAGTTCAGTCTTCATCAACATCAGAGATCTCACACGGGGGAGAAGCCGTATTCCTGTCCTGAGTGCGGAAATGTTTTTCACAGAAGTCCAGTCTTCATCAACATCAGAGATCTCACACTGGGGAGAAGCCATATTCCTGTCTTGAGTGTGGGAAATGTTTTTCAGTGAAGTCCAATCTTTACACACATCAGAGATCTCACACGGGGGAAAGCCATATTCCTGTCCTGAGTGCGGGAAATGTTTTTTACGGAAGTCCAATCTTCACACACATCAGAGATCTCACACGGGGGAGAAGTCATATTCCTGTCCTGAGTGTGGGAAATGTTTTTCAGTGAAGTCCAATCTTTACACACATCAGAGATCTCACACAGGGGAGAAAGCCATATTCCTGTTCTGAGTGTGGAAAATGTTTTTCAGAGATGTCCAGTCTTCATAAACATCAGAGATCTCACACGGGGGAGAAGCCGTATTCCTGTTCTGAGTGTGGAAAATGTTTTTCAGAGATGTCCAGTCTCTTCATAAACATCAGAGATCTCACACGGGGGAGAAGCCATATTCTTGTCCTGAGTGCGGGAAATGTTTTTCACAGAAGTTCATTCTTCATCAACATCAGCGATCTCACACGGGGGACAAGCCATATTCCTGTCCTGAGTGTGTGGGAAATGTTTTTCACGGAAGTCCAATCTTCACACACACACATCAGAGATCTCACACGGGGGAGAAGCCGTATTCCTGTCCTCAGTGCGGGAAATGCTTTTTCACAGAAGTCCCATCTTTACAAACATCAGAGATCTCACACGGGGAAGAAGCCACTTTCCTGTCCTGAGTGAGGGAAATGTTCCTCACTGAAGTCCTGTCTTCCTGTACATCAGGGGTCCCACACAACCCTGGAGGTGTATTAGTGCCTTGAGTGTGGGAAATGTCTCCTAGATGAATTTTGCTGGACATCCCAGTCCTCATATGAGGAAGAAGCACACCCTGATGTATACAAACCTGGGAAGGAATGGCACAAACAATTGGCACTTCCTAAGTTGTCCCAAGTCTATGAAGATGAATGCTGGTTAATATCACATAAAAGTCCCAATAAAATGCAGTGAATAAAACCGATGTCCGTCTGTGAGAGTCCATCCAGGGGAGGACAAGATTGTCCTTGGAGCAGATGCTGGCTGTCATGTAAAGAAGATAAGTGGGGCAGGAAAAAGCCCCTCTAAGTTTAGCCCCCCTAATACATTTCTTGTTTTACAAGGCAGGCCCCTCCCATAAAGCCAGAGTAAGCATGTACACCAGTAACACATCACCAGGAAGAAGGACTCCAGAGTGATCGGTGTGTGCCGCTTTCTATGGGGGAGGAAGGCGGCCATTAGACATCCCACATCTGGAAATCAGGGCTGGAACGCACTGTGGACCGCAGTGCTAGCGTGATGTCACCTGGGAGGAAAACACCATGTTTCCTAGCATGTGTGCAATGTCTAATAGTGTTGTTCTCTTTTGTCAAGGAGCTTGGAGATCTTCCCGGAGATGTGTTACTGATGAGCATGCTTACTCTGACTTTATGGGAGGGGCCTGACTTGTATACCAAGAAATGTATTAGAGGGGCTACACTTGGAGGGGCTTTTTCCTGGACCTTCCTACCCTCTGATATACACCTCAGATATACTCCATGGATGATCTTCATCATGTAAGAAAGAGTTCAGCAGCTGGTCCTGATCACCACTTTACATCCTGATTACAGCTTTACCAGTGTGTTCTGATCACCATACCAGCGGTTCCTGATCACTGCCATACCAGCGGGTCTTGATTTCTGCCATACCAGCGGGTCTTGATTACTGCCATACCAGCGGGTCCAGATCACTGCCATACCAGCGGGTCTTTGATCACTGCCATACCAGCGGGTCTTGATTACTGCCATACCAGCGGGTCCTGATCACCATACTAGTGGATCCTAATCACCGCTATACCAGTGGGTCCTGATCACCATTCCAGCGGGTCCTGATTGCCATACCAGTGGGGCCTGATCACCGCCATACCAGCGTGTCCTGATCATCATACCAGCAGGTCTTGATCACTGTCATACCAGCGGGTCTTGATCACTGCCATATCAGCGGGTCCTGATCACTGCCATACCAGTGGGTCCTGATCACTGCCATACCAGCAGGGCCTGATCACTGTCATACAAGCGGGTCTTGATCACTGCCATACCAGTGGGTCCTGATCCCTATACCAGTGGGTCCTGATCAGTGCCATACCAGTGGGCCCTGATCACCATTCCAGCGGGTCCTGATCACTGCCATACTAGCGGGTCTGATCACTGCCATACCAGTGGGTCCTGATCACCATACCAGCAGGTCCTGATCACTGCCATACCAGTGGGTCCTGGTCATTGCCATACCAGCGGGTCCCTGATCACCATACCAGTGGGTCCTGATCACTGCCATACCAGTCGGTCCTGATCACTGTCATACCAGCGGGTCCTGATCACTGCCATACCAGTCGGTCCTGATCATTGTCATACCAGTGGGTCCTTATCACTGGCATACTAGTGTGTCCTGATCACTGCCATACCAGTGGGTCCTGATCACTGCCATACCAGTGGGTTCTGATTACTGTCATACCAGCGGGCCCTTATCCCCACCATCATCTCATCATCTGTGAGGTGAGAGAGCCATTACAGCTGTGAGTAATATTCACAGTTTGCACTCACAAAACATTCTCAGACAGCTCACAGTATCCGTGATCTTTGCCCAACAGTGTCTACTGTGAACCAACCACAGTCAGCCATCTGTCCCTCACTGCAGTGATGTCAGACTGCTGTACACCAGCACCAGTGTCCTGATTACTACCACACCATCATCATCACTGCCATACCAATGGGTCCTGATCACTGCCATACCAATGGGTCCTGATCACCACTATAGTGCTGGTCCTGATCACTGCCATACCAGTGGGTCCTGATCACCACCATAGCACTGGTCCTGATCACCGCCGTACCGGTGGGTCCTGATCACCGCCATACCAGTGGGTCCTGATCACCGCCATACCAGTGGGTCCTGATCACCACCATAGCACTGGTCCTGATCACCGCTGTACCGGTGGGTCCAGATTACCATCATACTGCTGGTCCTGATTACCGCCATACCAGTGGGTCCTGATCACTACCATACCAGTGGGTCTTGATCACCACCATACCAGTGGCAACAATATGTCCAAAAAATTGTTCCCAAGCGATGCAAGCTGCAAGCACCAGCCGTCTTGGCAGGGAAGATGATCGAATATACACTTAATGTCCCATGTACCAACAAGATGGTGCAGAAAACAGAGGTCCATACTGCAGTTCAACTCATACAAACACGAGCTTAACCTCTTCGTGCCTCCCGGCCCTTTAAGAAGTTTCAGGAGCCAGGAGTGGGGTTTTAGGGTCATGTGACCGCAGTGATTCGCTGTCACATGATCGGAAAAGGTCCCGATCACAAGGGGAGATTGGGACCTTTCCATGAGACACCAACATATGCCCGCTCTCAGCACAAATGTCCTTTTTTTCACACAAATAGAGCATTCTTTTGGTGATATTTGATCACCTGTGCACTTTTTATTTTTGGCGCTATAACCAGCAAAAGTTTTGAAGAAAAAAAAATTTTTTTGAAAAAAACAAAATTTTCTCATTTTGGTTATAAAAAAAATAACCAAAAAAAACTAAAATTTTGTCATAAATTTAGACCAAAATGTATTCTGCTCCATGTTTTTTGTTAAAAAATTCCCAATAAGTGTATATTGATTGCTTTGTGTGAAAGTTATATCATCTACAAACTATGGGATAGATAATGGAATTTACACAGGTTTTGCTTTCTGACTGCCCATCATATTTCTTGAGGTGCTAAAATACCAGGATAGTACAAACACCCCAAATTACCACTTTTCAGAAAGTTGACACCCTAAGCTATCTGCTGAAAGGAATATTGAGTCCATAGAAGATTTATTTTTTTTTTTCACAAGTTTCTGGAAAATGACAAAAACATTTTTTTTTTACACAAAGTTGTCATTTAAATGATATATTTCTCGCACGAGTCATGAGTATATGTGGAATTACACCCCAAAATACATTCTGCTACTTCTACTGAGTATGGGGGTACCACATGTGTGAGACTTTTTGGGAGCCTAGCCACATACAGGAGCCTGAAATCCAATGACCGTTTTGAAAACCTGGAGGTGCGTAACTTCCTCATTACACTTCCTCACTACCTATCACAGTTTCGGAGGCCCTGAAATGCCAGGATAGCACCAAACCCCCCCAAATGACCCCTTTCTGGAAAGTAGACACCCCAAGGAATTTAAAAAGAGGCATGGGGAGTATTTTGCAGATCTCATTTTTTCTCACAAGGTTTTGAAATATAAAACAAAATAGAAAAAATATGTTTTTGTTTTTTTCTTCATTTTCCAAAACCCTGTGGCAACAAATGAGATCTGTAAAATACTTACCATGCTTCTTATCAAATTCCTTGGGGTGTCTACTTTCCAAAAGGGGTCATTTGGGGGTGTTTGGTGCTATCCTGGAATTTCAGGGCCTCCAAAACAGTGATAGGTAGTCAGGAAGTGTAATGAGGAAATAAAGCCCTTTAAAAGCATGAAGGTGCTTATTGGATTTTGGGGTCCTGTACTTGACTAGACTGCCAAAATGTCTCTCACATGTGGTACCCCCATACTCGGGAGAAGTAGCAGAATGTATTTTGGGGAGTAATTCCACATATATCCATGGCATGTGTGAGCAATAAATCATTTAAGTGACAATTTTGTGAAAAAAAAAAATTTTTTTTTGTCATTTACCAAAAACTTGTGGTAAAAAAATACATTTTTCTATTGATTCAACATGTTTCTCAGCAAATAGTTTAGGGTGTCTACTTTCCAAAAAGGGGTCATTTTGGGGGGTGGGGGCATTTTATGCCCAGCATTAGAAGTTTATGCCACACATCACTAACCATTCAAAGTCCAGGGATGCACCAGTACATCGCTGGTCCTTGTTGGGTATATATGCTATGTTCTTTTTTTTGTATGCAGCCTGTGGACTGAATGAAAAAAAGATAAGAAATCTCTGCCAGAAAAAGTGTGTGGTGTGCCCACCATTAGAATATACCGCCCTGCATCCACCCACTTCTAATGGTGGGCACACATTAGGTCACACTTTGCCACAAGCGCCAGTTCCAAGATTGTACAAATGTATAAATAGTGGCACGCTTGAATAAAAATTGTCCACGTATAAGTGGTACCCCATATGGAGAAATGATGACACCAAGTCCCAAACTATCTTGTCACTGCTCCCCATGTAGTCTGGGCATCCGGGGGGCTCCACATGACTATCTATTCCCTCGTAAATCCAAAACTTATAAGTATAGCCTGTTGTCCTCTAACAGGTCTTCTACATCTTGACCCCATATCTGGCACGCTTGCTGGGGAGAAATTGTTTGAATGCAAGGCGACCAGAAAAATTAATGAGGGACTCATCAACGCAGATGTTTTGCTGGGGAGTATAGACATCTGCAAATTTTTGGGTAAGGTGATTTGCGAGGGGCTGAATTTTGTGTATTGTCGCTGAAATGCATAAACAAATTACACTCTCATATCTATGCCTGGCCATGGCAGCAAAGAACACGGCATATGAGGAATGGGGTCTGCGGACCAATACAACCGCAATTAATTTTTTTTTAGTAATGCCCATGTTGAGGGTTAGGCCCAAAAAAAAATGAAAATTTGAAAACTGTAATGAGTTTCCATGCGAATGGTCTGGCAAGGATTGAATTTGGGTTGGCGGCAATAAATTGTTGTGCATATAAACTGCTTT